GGCTACGATGATGGGACTCAACGTTGACTTTCCCTCAATGGTCCTAGGCAATGTTTTCCTCAGTTTATATGTAAATATATTGTATCTTCTAACTCCCTGGCTTGTAAACTCTACCCCTGTAAATAACCAGTCTGACTTTCAGAAGTAGCAATCCATGCTTCCGATAAGACTTTGGTTAAATGACATGTGTGTAGACAAGCAGATTCTTCCCAAGATGAAGGCACCTCAAATCAGCTAAATAAAATAGCATGTTTGCACTCCCCATAAAGGGAATGGGTTATTAGTTTACATTCTCCTGTCACTCCGTATCTTTCTTCACTCTTTTGATGCTGGCAATTGGTTATTTCCCCAAGGCAGTACAGCGATGCATTTACATGTCATCACGTCCCTCATTGTGCTGCACTGTCACTCCCCGATTCTTCACGGCATTTCCAGCACACTCGAGGGTTGATAACACCTGCCGGAGAATAGGAAGCCGAAAGGCCTGACGCTTTCCTCTCAGATCTCATATAGACACGGGCCTCTCTCAGCTATTTAATAATACAATTCAAATATTTATGAGAGTCAGGGGAGGGGAGAGGAATACTCCCTATTTTAAGTGAATAAAAGCAATGGTAGGGTGAAAGAAACTTTAAGTGTCGGCCTCTCTGGGATCTCTTCTTTTATCCCTAATCACCGGCTTCTTTTCTATGTAATGATCACAGCTGTGGATACTTCAAATCCCAGAGGCATGTAATGACTGGAGGTGTTGGGCATAGCTCAGAGAGGTCAAAACCTTCTCATTAAACATTGAGCCTTAGGCCAAAAATATCAGAGTTGGAGCCAGGAGGTCAAATCCTCTTTTGGCTTCTCCTGGATGAAGCAGACAGGGACTGTCAGGAGTGCGTTAAAGCTTCCTGACCCTTGAGTACCTTCCCCTGTGCCAGCTGTTCACTAAGCAAACTCTTCACATAGTAGGAATGGCCTGAAAACAGCATTATGCCCTATCCATGAGCCTCTTTCAATGGGCCCAGTCACTCATGTGAGGAAATGAGCTCCTTGCTTGCAGTAAACTCCCCACGCACACCGATCCATCTTGGCATCTTTTGTGTTACCTGAGCAAGATCAAGGAAATGAGAACATAGCAGAAAAATCTGCTTCAGAGAGTCTCATCATGGATTTTAAGAGACTGAAAGATTTGGTATAAGTGTTCAAAAAGATCCCCCAGGGACTTTCGGGGAAAATAAGACACCAAGCAGAACAATGGTGAGGCTTGCTATGAATTTTTTTAGAATATTTTGCAACCCTGTGCTACAAAACTGGTGAACACGTTGACGAGGGGAAATGCTAGAGTCTTACACAGTGTTTGGCACGCTCAAGAAGCATGATACATATCAACATGGAAAGGGGGGGGGGAAAACTCAGAGAAAAAGTTGGATGAAAATATTGGATGAGAGCTGGCAGTACGGCTATCTGTTAGACGGAAGAAGGAATGACATTTGAAGACAAAACACAGTATAAAACAGACAGGTCTCATCATCGTATGGGGGTTTCCTACATGTCTAAGCACTGAAAAAAAGAGTTAGAAAAACAAAGATGTCAAATGATACTAAAATGCACCTGGCAAGGAGACTATGCAGATGAAACATTAATACTGCCCACCTGCAGGGTCTCTTCTTTGCTGTAAATGTAGTACATCTAAGGTCATTACTCGGAGCAGGCTTTATCCTATCCTCCGCAGCAGAGGCCCGTGCTTTTGAAACTGAAATATCATCACTCTGCCTATTGCAAAGGCTGTGGAGAGACCCGTAGGTGCAGGTTTCTGGATGTCACATTGCTCTCCAGACTTCATGTCATTTGGTAGAAGATAACATGGAGATTTCTCTCCAATGACGCCTCTGCTCTGGAGCTACAAGCTGTTTTCCTTGTGAATTATGGCTTTCCCAGCATGAAACGTGGATCTGGGCTAAGATTTTTGGTTAAGAGACAGACATTTGTCATTCGAATGACTTCAGGACTCAACTTCAACTCAAATGAAAACTGCCTGCATGAGGCCACAGAGTTATTGTCGCTTGGAAAAGCCATTTCTTTTCTGTTTGTTGGCCAGCGTGTGTGGCTATGCAGACTGACTCGCTGCAGGGGAAGTAACCTGGAGAACCAAGAGAAGGGTTTTTTATACCGTGCTATCAGCATTGCCTCTGCAGGTGTGAACTTTAAAAGGTATTAAGTAGGCAATGGACTGTATGAAGTGGAAAGTCAAACTTCTTGATGTACTTCATTGTGTGCTTTTGTACATCCTTTCATCCAGTTTTCCCTTTCAGCACTATCTCATAAAGAGCAGTCGCACAAAGCAGAACCCAGGTGGGCCTGGGGAGGTAGACAGCAGTTGGAGCAAGCTTTCGACTCCCTGGTAGCATGAGAGCATCACTTGAAAACATCAATGGGCTTGGAGAACCCGCCTTTTTGTCCCACAGGACCTTTCACAGTACAGTGGCTAGTTTAACTGCATCTCCAAGAGAAATGATGACTCCTGGAGTCATCTAAGGTATTGAGATGGGGAGGAAACCCTTGGGAGCCTGCAGCAGAAGAGGTGAAGGGGGAAACGCTTCTGCAAGGGACTGTTAGACCTGCGCACACATGCAAACGTGGACAAAAAGACGGCTATCCAAGGCTCTCTGCACAGTGCAAGCTGAAATACAGCACACGATGGACCCCGACTACTGGTATATACTTGATGTGTGCAACTGCCAGACATATGCATGGCACAAGAGCACAAGTCTTGCAAGAGGCACTTTAGGAACCAGCTTTTGAAAATGGGTGCAGGTAGGTGGAAGAATAAGGAGTGGGGGAGACATCCTCTTCTTTCAAGGGACCTAAACTTTGCAACTTCTGATCACCTCCTAATGCCAGAACAAACAAATGTCTCTTTTGATGGCTGGGACTGTATTACTGACATACAGTATTCAAGAGGGGCTGGAGAAAAATATGCTATGGGCATGTATGAAACCACCATGAACATGAGCCTTGAATAGGTTATTTTGATTTGAGGCATTAGGTGAAATCCTAAATGACATTTCATTGGAACAAAGTCAGTCTAAAGCACTTCCTAAAGCTGTGACCCCAGAGCTCTGAGTCAGCACACAGTTAGCAAGGCAGAATTTTTCCATTTGGACTGACTATGGGGTGAATATATCCTTTGCCACCAAACTCCACAAACTGCTATAGGGAGCAAGAGCAGTTTTATTTCAATGACTGGCCCTATTTTTACAATGACATACAGTTGGGGTGGCAAAGACACAGCCCATGGATCAGATCCGGCATGCAGAGACCTATGATTTGGCCCCTGGTGCTGCCTGCGGGTCTCAGATCAGCCCCACGTGCCACGTGCAACACAACTGTGTGCTGCATACAGTGTGCGGAGCTGGTCTGGAGCATGTTGCAAGCCATGTGCAGGGCTGGCCTAGAGCTCATCCACATGCTGCATGCAGCACGCTCACGTGCTGCGAGTGGCACGCAGGGCCTGAATGGGACGTGCACTGGATCTGGCTTGCAGGGCTGGCCTGTTGGCCTAATCCAGCCGACAGAGTGGCCCCATGCCGCTCATCTGACCCACGGTATGTCTGTATCCCTGACATACAGTAAAATGTCCTACGAATTCTAATCGGCCAACATTTCATTCAAAAATGGAAACCTAAATATGCTGCATGTCTAATCTGTAAGGATGTAAAACAAGTGCAATGGTCTTTTAAATCTTGGATACTGTAATGCAATGCACCAGCATTTTCCTCCTGAAGTCAAGGTTTCCTGTTCTGTTTATAAAAAGCTTCATGCCACCCACTCAACACTCATAACCGCGTGCACACACGCACACATACACACACATTCTAGGTGTGTGTATACACATGCACACAATGTTATACATCTATAACTTTATATATAAAATGTGTAAACACCCATATTTTATATATACACACACATTCATATACATATATACACACATACATATATACACACATGTGTGTGTGTGTGTGTATATATATATATATATATATATATATATATATATATATGTGTGTATATATATATATATATATATATATATATATATATATATAGATGCCTGCATATATGTATGTATGCATAATATTATATACATATAATGTACGTATGTATGTGCACGCAAGTATATTCTTAGTTTTTTGGTTGAGAAAAACTAACCAGATGTAGATGACATTTTCACTGAAGTTTCATGTTTGAAAAAGTTCACGTAAAATGTTTCAGTTAAAAAAAACAAGCACCAGTTTGATGAAAGGTTGACAGCATTTCTTTTCCCCATTGTTTCCAACCAGTTACAGAGTTGTTCAAATACATTTCCAATACTCTGAATTTGGAGAATTGAAGGGGAGACCAATGGGAAACATTATTTGAAAAATCTGTGGCATTTCCCCCTCAGTTTTCATGCAAACCCAAGCTAAGGGCCACATTTAGAGACCTTTATTCACCCCAAGTACTTGTGGGGGGATACCAAGACAATAGATTTTATTCCAGGTCAGGAAGATTATCAGAGTTAGCTGTAGCATTTGCATTGTTTTGTATCATCAGGTTTGTTTGCCTGGTATTGTAATCCATGCTGAGCTCTTCTGGATAGGGCAGGATATAAATCTAAACCTACACCTAAACAGCATCAGTAACAGCATTCGATGTTCTGTGAGTCTGTTCAGAGATCCAGGAATTTTTGCTCAGTAGAAGGTAAAACTTTTGCCCAAACTAAGCGTGCCTCAGCTACAAGTTACTGATTCAATCCAGTGGAAAATCAGTGAAGTTTGCTTAGTTGTACCTGCACCTTTTACTGACTCAGCTGAAAGCACATGAGCATCAGCAAATATCTTGTTAACCAGTTAACTACCTGCAGCACTCGTTAATTGGAGGTGCATTTACCGATCATGATGGCAGTGCCTGTAAACAGCACAGATAGGAAGCTAATTAATCAAATGAAGAAAAACAGACTATTAGATCCTTACCACGGTGTAGATCTGCGGTTTGCGCCTTTTTGCAAGATCAATTATATTGACGCCGTTGTAATACAGGTTCTCAATGCATCCATGGAAATTTTTCTTCAGAAAGGTTCCTGGCTTTCCTGGAACCGGGATCCCTCCAAAACTGAGCTTTGGGAAAGAACAAAGACAACACTCAGTTATGACTCAAACACGTTGGGGAAAGGAATGAGCACAGCACGTGGAGCGTGGGGTTGGAGTCAGATTGGGCGAAGGGAAGCGGCCATGTAGGGAAGTGAACAGAGCTGTACTATGTGCTGGCAGGTCCTGCGCAGGGCAATGGAAGTGATTTGGGGGCTGAGGGACAGGATTTGTCAGGAAAGGCTGAGCGAACTGGGTTGATTTAGTTTGCAGAAAACAAGACTGAGGGTGATTGAACAGCAGCCTTCTACTCCCTGCAGGGGGGCTGCAAAGAGGATGGAGCTAGACTGGTCTCAGTGGGGGCAGATGGCAGGACAACGAGCAATGGGCTCAAGTTGCAGCAAGGGAAGTTGAGGTTGGATATTAGGAACAACTTTCTCACTCAGAAGTGAGAAGCACTGGAGCAGGATCCCCAGAGAGGTGGTGGGGTCTCCATCCTTAGAGGTGTTTAAGACCCAGCTTGACAAAGCCCTGACTGGGATGATGTAGTTGGGGCCGGTCCTGCTTGAAGCAAGGAGTTGGACTAGATGTGACCTCCTGAGGTCCCTTCCAACCCTCATTTTCTCTGATTCTCTGAAACCCAGGTTCAATGCCTGGCTCTGCCACTGTTCTGCTCTGCAGCCTTGGCCATATCACTTCACCTCTGATTCCCCCCTTTCCTTTATTAGTCTCATCTATTTAGACTGTGAGTTGACCAAGGCAAGATGATTTAAGCTGCAGTCAGGAAAGCTGGATATTAGGAAAAAAACGTTCTCACTAGCAGGGTAGTAAAGCAGTGGAACAGGTTACCCAGAGAGGTGGGGGAGTCTCCTACCTTGGAGGTTTTTTAGGAACTGGCTAGACAAAGCCTTGGTTGGGATGGTGTAGTTGGGGCTGGCCCTGCTTTGAGCAGGGGGTTACACTGGATGTGACCTCCTGAGCTCCCTTCAACCCTCGTTGTCTATGACTCTATGGTTCTCACCACCTGTATGTACCACACCTAGCAGTTAGACCATCATCTCAAAGTCTATATCTTTGCTATTGGCAGTTGTTGGAGGGGCTCTTCTGCATGTGTTGAATGTAAATAATAATGTATTCCTGGGACGTTGTGAGACTGACTCCATTAAGGCATTACGCTACTTTGTGAGCAGAAGGATATTTATCCTTGCAAGGAGGCAAACACAACTGCAAGGACTGCTCCATATTAGTGCTTCTGTGAAACAAATGTCTCAAAAGACAGAAAGGAAGCATGGAGGGGAGGAAGAGCAAGGTTTTAGCCATCCCCAGGCTGGCTCAGATGCAGTCTGTAGGGATGCTGTAATGCACATATTATCCCTGCCTGCAGGGGAGTTCAGAAATAAGTTGGGCCTGGAGATTCACAATTAATTTGGAGATGCTCTTCTGGGTCAGTGGCATGCATATAGTGGCTACATAAAACATTTTGATAGTGCAGTACACTGAGATTCCTGACGGAAATGAACCACACGAGTTCAAAGCGCCAACAACTCTCTAGACCTCTGTTCACTGAAGTCACTATAAACTCCAGAGTACACAAGAATAGGTCTGAGAGGAAAATTTGCCCTCAACACATAAAGCACTATGTTGTGTTAAGGCAGAAAACATAATATATTTAAACAAACAAGCAAAAAGCACAGAAGAAAACATTTAACATAATATAATATACGTATAAACATATAGTATTATATTATCTAATATATAATATAATGTATAACAATTTCTTCTGTGCAAAGAGCACAGAAGAAAACATTTAACATAATATATTTAAACAAACAAGAAAAGAAGAAATGACTAGAATTTTTACTGTTCAATGTATAATTTACTGGGAGGACTACAGGGTTTGTTAAATGATATTGCCTTAATATTTGGGCACAGTTCCTATTAAGAACAAGTACAATGCTGGCTACATTTTTTTAGACTATGGAGGAGGATGTGGATCTTTCAGCTCCAAAATTACATAAAACTTCCCCAGAATGTTTGCCAAAACAAGAAACATAAAGGTTATTCTGGAGTCGCAACTATAACATTGTGGGTTCATTTGATAAAAGCTTTTGTATTAGGGGCATGCAAAGCAGGCTCTATTCAATTTGGATTCAGATTCAGCCTGAATCAGGGACACTGATTGGATTCGTTGATTTAGATCACTGTCCCTGATTCGCTTTGGCCAAATATGAACCTGAAGATTCGATGCTGATTTGGAGAATCAGTGATTCGGACCCAGATACAGCTTGAAATGCTTTTTCTGCATACCTCGAGGTAGCAGGAACAGCTTATGAATGTTGTGATGTTGGGGCACATGGAGCGTCCCACAGGAGGTGGGGGTCATCCACGTGCTCAGCGGTGAAACTGGAAGTGGACTGGAACTACTTCCAGTCCACTTAGGGGTCTGCCGGGGAGTGCACAGGGGTCCCCCCATGTCCCCCCAACTTGGCAATAGGCAACAGGGGGACCCCAGGTGCCTTTCCAGACCCAGGAGGCACCAGTCACCAACCCCGGGGGGTAAGGGGAGTGGCTACCTGCGTGCTCCCCAGCAGACCCAGAAGTGCTTCTGGTTCACTTCCAGGTCTGCTGAGTGCACTGGGCAGCCCCCCACGCTCCTGCAAGATACTCCATGTGCCCCAGCCTCGCAGCATTCACGAGCCCCTGCTACCTAGAGGTACGTAGAAAAAACATTTAAAGCTGTGTCTATGTCTGAATCACTGAATCTTTCTGAATCTCTCTGAATCGATTCGGAGGGATCCGATTCAATTCGAAGGGATTGAAGGGTCCTCTGATTCGATTCAGATTCAGAGATTCAGCCATCGAATTGGACCGAATCTCCACCGAATCAAATTAGGGACCGAAACTTTGCACAGCCCTATTTTGTATGACAATTGAGGGCTTCCATGTATCCCACCCCCCGGTTGCAAGGCTGCATCTGGGATACCCTAGAGCCTAAAAATCATAACTTTAAGTCCAGTCCATGGCCATTGCTTTCCCCAAGCAGTAAACCAAGGCACCATGGAATTTCAGATCAATGAAAAGGGAGAACTCATATCTTTCTGCTCCTAAATGATGATCCATATGGTACATGCTTAAGGAATATCCCTGCTTTTTCTGAGCAATATTGACTATAATGCATTGCTCAGAGAACAGGATAGAAGATCATTCAGCAATTCTAATGACATTCATTGGACAGCAGTGATATAAATACATGATACCACTTAATAACAATAAAAGACATCATTTTGCTGGTTTGCTTTAAACTGTCAGTCTTAAAATACCAAGAGAATGTACCTTCAACTGAGCCATCTATGACAACTATAAGCTGTTGCACATGACACATCAAAGGAAAAAAGAATTAAGGAATGCAATTTAAAAAAAAAAATCTTTCAGAGATGGAATTTATAGCTCAAATCTATGACTAAATGTTAATTTTCAAAATCTTATACTCAATTTGTAGGTGTAAAATCCAAATCAAGCTTCATTTACGTGGGCCTTTTTGACAAAGAAATTCCTATTGTTGCTATTTTGGGGCTTTGGTGGGTTTTTTTTTTTTTTTTTCCCCTTTCCAGGTTTTCATCTTCCCCCACACTTTTTTCCCCCCCTTTTATCAATGTCAACAGCCATGTAAAAAATATACAACATACAGAAGGCACAGAGTGTGCTGCGTCCTGCACAAGAACAACTGATGCGAGGTCACCGAGGGATGGCTGCTTAACATTGCAGAAATACTAGAAGCTATTTAAACCTTTTTTTTTCCCCCCTTAGCAATTCCAGTTTCTATCTAAAAGGTTTGTCTAAACCCATTGCTGCAATGGTGTGAGAAGACTGTGTGTGTGTGTGTGTGTGTGTGTGTGTGTAAGAACAGAGTAAATAAAGCAAAAAATAAATAAAAGGAAACTGCAGAGATAAAACCGTCAGCCCTGCTTTGAAGATGAAACCTTAATGAAGGAGACTTGATGAACTTGTGCCTCTGTAGGATTAATTGATCATTACATGGCAATAAAGAGGGAAACCGTTTTCAACACCACATCGCTTGCAAGTTTGTTATTGACACAAGGGGTCACGCAATAGCAAAGCTGATTTCGAGCTGAGAATTGTTAGTTCTTGCTTAAATCACTTGGCATTCTTTTTCCTTAATTTTCTGTTCTTTTAAGTCTCCTGCTTAGGGACACTGGGCTGGGTTTAAAAAAAAAAAAAAAAAGCAGGGAAAAAAAAATCAATATCAATTATACTGCTGCATTATTGAGAAAACAGTTTCCTTAGTGATCAGTAATAATTGTAATTACCAAACTAATGGTCTTATTACCCTTAGCTAGATCTTTAATCCCTTAAGTGTGCTGAGATAAACTTTCATTAGACTTCATTGTCTCTAATGTTAGGTTTGAAATGCTTGAGTTATTCAAACGTGAATTGAAAAAAACAAACCCTGGCAAGTGTTGAGCTGGGCGGTGGGGGGGGGGGGGGGGGGGGGGGGGGGCGGGCAGATCCTTGGTTGGTGTAAACTGGAGTGCCTGATTGAAGTAGGTGATGGTATACTGATCTGTACCAGCTGAGGCTAACTAGCTTCCATAATCTTCAATGAGACACATTTTTGGAAAGTGTGAGCTAACAACACTTCCTCAAACTGCACTGAAGCATCAGTGTTACTTTATACAAATACCTTCCAACATCAATTAATGCAAAAATCTAGAACTCTTGGGTCAGAAGTGATACCTTTTATTAGACCACGTAGGAAATTGCAAAAAAAACCCCAAAACTAACAAACAAAAAAAAAACCCTTCCAATGTCAACAGCACAACAGGAAGTAATGGGTCACATTTTTGCGGAAAGTGAGAAAATCGCAGGGCTGATTATCCAGGTCGTTCATCTCTCAGTCACTGAGGGGCCAATCCTTACAATCCCTCCTCATTTCAAGGACATTCTCCTAGTTTCCAATGGTTCTTCTCTACAAAGGTGACCCCCCCCGCAAGTTAGAAAATATTGCATTTCACCATTAGGTTGGCTTGTTTGAGAGCCAGCTTGCATTTCTATTTTTTAGCTTCAACTTCTAACCACCTACCAACCTCTTTGGACCACGCTGCATGTTTTGACAAAGTTTTCCTGTCTCCATCTCCACAGACCATTGAAGATCCCTAATTTACACTTTTTTTTGCCAGCCTGGCTTCTTGCCTTGGAAGGGAAATTCTCAACTATGGAGTGCAAGCCAGGCATCAGAGGATGTTTCTCCCTGATAAAACCCTGTCTTGGGTCTTTGCTT